TATCTCTGCTAGTTAAGAAGCTATAAGCCAAAACGTAAAAAAGCATACCCTACCCATCCGCCAGCCTACTGTTGGGTGGTGGAATACGTTATTATAGACAAGGATATATATAACTTTAATAAGTCTAGCTTCCTAATAGGCAAGATCTTGTTATAGCTAGTAGTAATAGGCTTAGAGAAGCCTAGGAAGCAGAAGAAGATCTAACCTAGCAATTGTAAGTAGGTTACCCTAGTACAAGGCGTTAGGTTAATAGGGAAGGTTATCCTACTATTCCTTATCCTTATAGGTAAGGTTCTTATCTCTAACTAGTTTACTAAGGACCTCCTACAGGACTAGGTTATTAATGTTAGTCCTACTAGCTAGACTAATAATAATCTAGCGCTTGCCTAGCTCTACTACTTTAATACGCATGCAAAGCTAGTTAGGGTCTACTAGCTACTTATTATTAATGGCTATAAGAGCCACTGTTTAGTGGCTTTCTAAGATCTCTGTAGAGAGAAGAAGATAATCACTCTCTGTATGCCCCCACACTTGTCGCACCTGTTGCAGCCACTTAACGTCGCCTGCTTCTCGCCACTAAAGCGCCTGTATGGTGACAAGGTTTTGGCCTTAGCACAGAGTTGTATCTACTATATTAATAAGGAAACCTTCCTGCTAGCCTTTAAATTAGTGTTTAGTAAGGTGTTTACTAGAGAGAACGTTCGCGCAGGCTTTAGAGGTGCTAGGCTAGTCCTACACAACCTAGAGGTGGTGTTATTAAAGCTTAATATGCGCCTGCGCACGCTAACGCCACTAAACCTAGCAATGTTGCCTAGGAGCTAAAGACACTACACACTACTTATAAAGTAGAGGAGTAGTTAACGTAATCGGCCATTGAGTCGGCCAGGCAATTGAGCCGGCCACCTTTGCCAAGATCACACCTCATTCCACCTCTTATCTAATGTCTTAACAACCTAATCTTAGATTACTTCCTTGTAAGGATAGGATAATCCTTGCTATCTAAGCTATAAAATCTAACATGTTAATAAGCTAACAGCACGCTGCTGCTATCTATAACGTTCCTTAATCAACCCTCTAAGACTAACACGCTAAAACCACCTCACAACACAATTCCTACTACAGCAGATTAAGGCTTACTAAGCCTAAAGAGGAGGTGGTTATACAATACATAAGGAAGCTTAACACGCAAGGCTTTGCCCCTACGCTAAGCTACATACGTGAAATAGCCAATTAACTGCTAGCTGCCTATAGTAGTAGTAAGGTTAGAGAAAAATAGGCTAGGCACCTTGTAAACTAGAAGCCTAAGATCAAGTCTTAGGTAACCAGACAGCGCGATCACTAGAGAGTCTTGTGCAGTGATCTAGCTATTATCAGCCCCTAGTTTAACCTTGTGCGCAACGTTAAAGCTAAATATAGCATCTAGGACTAAGATACCTACAACTTTAATAAGACTAGCTTCTAGATAGGTGTTAGAGGGTCTGTTAAGGTAGTAATAGCATCTAAGAGGCGTCTTAAGCTACTTAGAGTCTAGCCTAGTAACTATAAATAGGTGATGTTAATTGCTACAATTAATGCTATAGGGTAGGTTATCCTGCCCTTTATTATCTTTAAAGTAAAGAACTATAACTAAGCCTAGTATTATAACCTAAAGGATTAGCGTATTAGTGTTAGCAAGAATAGCTAGACAACAAATAAACTAGGCCTAGAGTGGCTAAAGCACTTCATCCAGCATACAACAGCCTGGACAGTGGGTAGCCACCGGCTGCTGATTATTGATGGCTATAAGAGCCACAAGTTGCTTGCCTTTTAGGATCTGTGTAAGGAGAACAAAATTATTACTCTCTATATGCCTCCTTACACCTCCTATATCCTACAGCCACTTAATGTAGGCTGTTTTGCCCTATTAAAACAAGCATATAAGACAGAATTTAATGTCTTAGCAAATAGCTATATTACTTATATTAATAAGAAAGTATTCTTAGCTGCCTTTAATTAGGTATTTAATAAGGTATTTTTATCTAATATTATCTAATTAAGCTTCTAAGTAATAGGCTTAGTTCTAGACAACCTAGAGGTAGTGCTATTAAAGCTTAAAGTAAAGCCTTATATGCTAATACTACCTTTACTAGGGCCTACTACCTAGCAACCTAGAACACTAAGCAACGCTGCTAAAATATTAGCTTAATTAATGCTAATATCTAACTAGATTAGGCAGTACTACAGTTTATCTCTAGCTTTAATTATTAAGATAGTGTAGTAGTTTAAAAAGGGAGCTAATATAATAGTGCATTCCTAGGTGCTTATAGCAGCTTAGATAGTTAAGCTTTAAGTAGTAAATAAAGCTGCTTCTAAGTATAAAGCACGTAAAAGGAAGTAGATCTAGTATAGAGGAATCCTATTATAGAAAGAGGTAGAGGAAATAATAGCTGTATAAGAGGTGGTGGTGTAGGCAGAGGCAGAGAGGCGTGAGGAGAGGGTGCGAACAGGTGGTAGTAGAGAGGGTTCTTAACGCTGTAGGAGGTATAGTCAGGCTGGGCACAATAAGCGCACATGTAAGTAAGATACTGTAGACAGAGTGGATTAATTTGACGTACTGTGAGCCACAGTACAACGTTGTGGTGTTGAGTTATCTGCGTGTCAAGGTGGGTGGCTGCATAAGGTGGCCGGCTCAATTGCCTAGCCGACTCAATGGCCGATTACGTTAACTCTAATTTAAAAGTAGATTTAAATCTATTAAGGGTCTCTAGCAAGTTTGTTAGATAAGTGTAACGACTATGCACGAACACGACACGTGGCATAGCGCTCATAGCAGCTAGAGGCAAAGCTAGCTGGCTAGCACTATTATTGTCTATATATATTATACTACGCAACGAATACTTGCTTAAGTATTCTTGTGCTTACCTTTTGGTATAGGCAGAGAAGTCACGTAGTATTGATTTCGAGGGCAGGGCGCCTACTCTGTTACAATAAGTAGGTTAAACAGTTAGTAAAGGGCGCTTAGTAGATAGCTTATAATATAGTGTTAATACAGGAGGAAATAGGCCACCTTTAGGATGCTGTAGAAGTGTCTATAAAGCGCAGGACCTATAAGCAATAATATATACACATAGAGGAGACCCTTATAGTTAGCTAAGTAGCTTACTTAATTACTAAAAAGGAGGGTAGGGGTTATAGTAATGTAACGGTCTAGACTCTAAAGCTTAAGAAGAGCTAGAGCTAGCCGGTTACATTAGCTTAGTCGGCTTGGCTTAAGCTGGATATATATTATCTTCGCAGTTAACTAGACGTCTAGTTAACTTGTGCATGCTTTTTAGCAAAAGTTGTTAGGAATTAGATATCCTTTATTGGCCTTTGGCCAGACCACTACAAGTAAGGGCAAGACACCTGCAAAGAGGGTGTGCGTTAGACAATGCTATAGGTGTTGTAGTAAGATTAGACACAATTCCTACACTTGCAATGTAGAAATAGAGGATATAGATAATAGTAAAGCTTCTAAATAATACTATCTAGGCCTGTAAATAATTATTTATTTGTGTTGTGTTGTGATATAGCGCTGCGCAGGCGTTCTGTTGTTGAAAGTGCGGCGCTTGGTTGGGTGTGGCGCTCGCTTGTGAAACACGTTATTCTCTGTCTTCTTTATTTTGTGTCTCTCCCCTAATGTTGTGTACTCTTAACCCTGCCTTTCTATTAATTATTAGCTAAGGCATTGTCTTAGTAGTCCTAAATTGCTTAGGTACCCCTCTTTTACATGATTGGCGACCTCAATCTAGCATGTTGCTGATCATTAGGCTTAGTCTGTGGGCCCCTGCCTTGCTTGGTGAACTTGGCTGAGATCTCTGAGTGATTTCTCTGTACAGATCCGGCCCTGTCAACCTTTCCTCAGTAACCTAATATCTGACAGCTGTATCTAAAGCTTCCTTTAACACGTTACAGTGCTGTTGTTGAGGAGGCGTTAGTGTAGGAAGAGGTGTTGGTGGGGGCTTGGCAAAAGTGTTCAACTCGCCTGTGTGTTCCGCTCGCTAGTGGAGTAGTTACTAGCTATTTGATGTGGCTCTATAGCCCCAAGTTTGGCGGTGCGCATTAGGGGGGTTCGGCGCATTGCGCGCACGGACACGATATTTTGAGGCAACCCCTTGTTTTGGTCGTTTAGGTTGGGTTGGGGTTGCAAACGCCTATTTTACGACATATCTTGGGCGGCGCTAGTCTAGGTAAGGACATGGGTAGACTATTCTGTTGCGCTAGCCCGTGGTCTTCGATCGAATAATACATTACTAAGCCGTATCTTTGAAATTGAAGCAGCTGGAAGCGTTTAAGTAAATGATGTGACCCAACCCCGTTGGCCAGCCTAACTGCGAGAATTAATACCCACTCTCTTTTGTCATCTAGTTCGCTAAATTTTGATTTGTTAGTGGCTAACATGTCTTCTTCAAGCAAGAACGAGTCTGGACGGGCGAAGAGATTTTTACTTACGAATCCGCAAAGTCATCTGTTGTCTCGCTCGCCAGTCACGAAGGAGCAAGGCATCGTCAATTTCTCCGTTGTTCATTTCGCTTCCTTTGCTCTCGATATTCAGGTAATCAGGCAAAGAGTCGCGCCAGCGATCTAGCTGTTGTCTCAACGACTCTCTTTCGTCAAGAAGCAAGATCGGTCGTTTCTCATGGACACCGGATAGTTTGAGGATATGGTTTCCAAATGAGTGATGGACACAAATTGAGCAGCATCGGCCGTGAACTGATCTGCACATGGCAACTGTACAGTTGGATAATTCATGTTCATCTCTGATGTGCGGATTGTCATAGGCCTCCTGCATCCAGACTGAGTTTGACCTCTCGGATGTAGATTATTGCCTACGTTCGCCTCGCTTCTTCTTTATCAATACCTGAGGAGCGATGCATGGATTCGAGGTTTAGGTGAATGGAGTATGCAAGTCGAGCAGCAATGCCATTAAGGTTATAGGCCAGATTTGGCTTGATTGCATGTCGCGCATATGCTCCCAGGAAGTTTGCAGCTTGCGTCAGCTCCAGATTGCTCGCACCGATGAGTCAGCCTAGCATACTCCGCACTTCAGCGAAGTACCATGAATCTCACAAGGAGTTTTCATCTTAATTTCCCTCGTACAGGGCGCCAGGTACCAGAGTAGCATACAGAAGTCATACGATTTGTGGACGATTGGGATCATCGGTGGTGGCGAAGATGTATTTTTTGTCGCCAAAGAATTTTCGTATTGGATTGTACGCCTGGTCATGATAGACTGTATGAGTGAGGCATCTGTATGTCAGTGGAGGTGGTGTTGGCAAGTTAGAGCGACATGATCTCGACCGGTGACTGAATAGTTAACGAGCATGGTGTTCTTAGACGTGAAGAAATATAGAGGATGGCTGATACTGAAGGATGTGCGGAACCTTCCAGGTCGTAATGATTTACAGTCCTCCTGAATGCTATGAGAACAGTGATCAAGAAGGATGTAACATCAGCGAGGAAGGTGAAAATGGTGATGAACAAATGTGAATGCGCTGAAGGAGAAGATGTGCGAGGCAGGAAAGAAAAGAGGACTGAGCAAGGCACCTCAAAGATTCATGAACGTAAAAGAACAGATTCGACGTAGGATCAGCACAGCTCAACAGTACCTCGAACATACAGCCTCCATAGCGGCTGACTACAATTCAATCGGCGATAGTCAAGGTCAGCTCTTGGTCATAATTTAGTATCGTAATAACACCAGTATATTTGCATTGCAGTCCAGAGGTGAGGGCTAGATTATGTTGAGATACAACAATTTGTCAAGGTTGTGGTGGCTCCAAGGACGCGGCTGGTCAACGCGGTAGGAACGCGTTTTCCAGGGTTCTGACATCATCAGTTCCACCAAAAATCATCCCATCATCAACAAGTCGCGAGCCGCTTCGCAAAGTCAAGCTTGCATCGGCGCTTGTACCTGCATGTCAGGATCATTAGAAATAAAATAAAATCGCCATCATCATGTCGTCGCTTCTCGTGTGCTCCTCATTTCTCATCTCCGCTACTACTTTCCTATCGATCACTGGACCAGCACCTACCCACTGATCACAACACACTTCAAGCTTTTTCCCCAAAAAAACACATACATAGATAGCAACAGCCCCTACCACACCTATTCACATGAAGCCCATTCAGCGCAACATGTCTTTCCTCCTCCGCACGGCAAGCTTCGCAGCACCAACAATCGCGCGCTTCACCACACCCATTTCCCAACGAGCTTTCAGCACAGCGCCCCATATGTCCTTTAACATCGACTCCAAATTCCTGTCCCAAACCACCGCCGCTGAGAAGGCTCTTACCAACAAGGAGGGTCCCATCACCGACGGCCCTACCGCTCGCGCCCAGAAACATGTCGGCCAGCAACTCACTGCTCAGATCATTGGCGAGATCAACGACGCCGAGAATACCATCACTGGTTCTTCTCAACCCACCAAGGGCGGTCCAACAGCCGTGGCCCAGAGCATCCTGGCCAACGAGGTCGGCGCTGGCAAGAACAACAACTACAACGATAACAACACATCAAACAACTCCGAGAAGCACACCGGCAAGCTCGACTCGTTGACCATCCACAAGATCACCGAGGCCGAAAAGAACATCACAGGCCAGCAACCTGTCCAGGGCGGCCCCACAGCGAAATCACAGCAGCACGCCAACGAGCCCATCACGAGCGAGGCGCTGCATGACATCACTGAGGGTGAGAAGAAGATCACTGGCGGCAAGCGTGTTAAGGGTGGTCCTACATCGCAGGCTCAGAGCGAATTGGGCAAGAGCCGGTCTTGAACGCATATGCACGTGCACTGACTTCTCGACCCGGTACTAAAACATAGCGATGATGCTTGTACAGTATTACGAACATGATCCGGTGTATGATAGTAGTATTGAGTGTAATACGATGTCTCGGAAAATCTGATACTGATGAGGAAGTCTGTATGATAGAATACTGGTATTCGCATAATGAACAAACGCAACATACAACGTGTATTCCTCACATTGATGCATTCGCAGAGTTGGCGCCCAACCATGCCGCAAAGGCCTGCGCATTCCTTGTCTGCATGAAGACCGTTCCTGGTCCCGTGAATTTGCACACCAGGCCTTCGCCAGCCATCATGTTCGACACGATGCCACCAGATGCAACACGCTCGAGGACGTACTTACAGTTCCACGCAACAAGGTGGCCGTTGTCGATGATATACTTCTCGTCCTTCTGCAACTGCGGAATCATCAGCACCGATTCTCGATCCTTGGAATCAGACCATACTCACATCCTTCCTGATAATCGCCCCAAAACTCGTGCACCACAAAATACCCTGTCCACTAATTTTATACACAAACAGGCCCTCGCCGCTAAACATGGCCTTCGTAACACCCTGGCTCTTATACTCCGTGACAATACCCTGAGTACACGCCAGAAACGCATCCTTACCCACGCTCCACTGCTCGTGGCCCCCAAGCTTGATGATGGTAATGTCGCCGATAGATGCAGGTGCAAGGAGAAGTTCGCCAGGCCCAGTGTATTGCGATTTCGTCATGTCGCCGCCGATCAGGGCCTTTTTGAGCGAGAATTTCATGGTGCCCTTGAGGGTGATGGTGGGCGTCATTGCTATCATTGCGCCTGGGAAGTGTTAGCTTCTGTTCTGGTCTTGAGAGGATTGACCGGTTAAGGGAAGACGTACCGGGCTTCGCGGTGAATGGACACCCAATTGCCAATTGCACGGTGAGGATGGTGTTCGTGTCGCGGTGGCTCACGCGGTAGCTGCCACCGTTGAAGGTGCCCACATCGTCTGCTTGTGTGCTTCCTGCGCCCGCGAACTGTGGCTGTGAGGCTTGGACCTGCTGCTGTGGTTGTGTCTGCTGTTGGCTGGTTTGCTGTTGTGGCATGCCGGGGTGCTGAAGCGGGCTTTGGGTTGGCGCGGGGGTACCGTAGGTGCTCAGGGGACCTTTCTCAGGGAATAGCTGTTGAGGCGGCTGATGCTGCTGTTGTTGTTGTGGCTGCGGCTGATGCTGGGTAGGCGCACTTCCGGGCGGTGGGAAGTGCTGTTGCGGTTGTTGTTGTTGTTGCTGCAAATAGTCCGAAGGCGGCGCATAGTGTTGCTGTTGTCCACCCGGTGGAGGGTAGTGCTGTTGCTGTTGCTGCTGTCCTTGCGCAGGAGGAGACGAGGGAGGTGGAGGATATGATTGACCGCCTGGCGGAGGCGAGAAGTACTGCTGTTGATCTTGCTGTTGATCTGTAATGTGTCAGTGCGATGTTTGGCGATTATCAACGTAGAAGTGGCGTACCATATCCACCCTTCTCTGGTGGTGCTATTGCCAGTCAGCTCATGTCGACACAGCGCTTGTATGAGAAGCTCACGAGGGTAAAAGTTACCACCTGGCGGTGTTTTTCCGTACCCTGACATTGTGTATTACTGGAGCGCGAGTAGGCTTGCGATACTGAATATTAGGCGACCAGCGCGTGTATGGTCTCCGTAGGGACTTCAGAGGGTATCGAGAGGAGAAAGAAGTGGGAATCAAGCTGAGCAGAGGACAAGTGCCTCGTCAGCACATATACCGCGCGCGGCGCCCCTCGTTACCCGCTCGTGTCAAGCTCAGCCTCGATCATCCATAGCTGTTGGCTAGCGGGGTACGCAGCCGCCGGACGGGAAGGTCTCGCATTGTTCCCTGGACCTCTGCTGCAGATTACTTCGTACCACAGTTACACTACTCTAATGTGACGATCAGCTTACCGTGTAGCTATTTTAAACAGTCAGTCATTCGACCTAGCGAGAGACGCGCATTGTAGTCGAGGCTAATTGAGAAACATCGAAGCTTCAGAAAGCTCGAGGGATCAGGGTCCCTGTCCAAGCGTTTGTGTCCCGCTTGCAAGCGCCCTCACCTCCCGCACTACGAAGAATCTCGTTTTTTTTGGCCGATGAACCGATGCGCACGGCCCTTGAACATGATTTCCGTTCGCAACGCCCATAGTAATCCTGTAACGGTTGAGAGGAGAAGCGGATCACGTGTTGTTGGCGATGGTCTGGTGCTACTTCCTCATGTTGTTGAGCACCTCTTACCTCAGCTGCATCACAAAGACGTCATCAAAACAGACCCCGCAGTGAGCCTTAGAGAGCAAAGTGTAACGGTCTAGACTCTAAAGCTAAAGAAGAGCTAGAGCTAGCCAGTTACATTAGCTTAGCCGGCTTGGCTTAAGCTAGATATATATTATCTACGCAGTTAACTAGACGTCTAGCTAACTTGTGCATGCTTTTTAGCAAAAGTTGTTAGGAAGTAACGTAGATTATCACTGAGCCAGCTATATCACCAAACTAGCCACTTTCTCTTAGCACAACCACCTTTTACCCTAACATAATATGCCTTAATAATAACAACTTTAGAATACTACTAGAGAAGGTAGAGTTATCCTTGCTATCTAGGCCTTCTATGCTAGCTAATTTCGCAGTATCTACAGCGCTGCTAGAGCGTTGAACATACCTTATTAGTAGGTCTCTAATCACCTTCACAATACTATATTTTAACTAACCTGTTTTATCAGTGAGCGCCCCACCTCAGTGAGCGCCCCACGAACACCAGCAAAGCGCATGCGCGACACTCAACGCGTAATGTCTTAACAACCACAACCTCACAAGCCCTATATTAAAGCTGATGTGCAGCTTGCCCTCTCTAACATTAAATACGACTAGATTACAAGCCTGCAACGTGCTAAGGCAGTCTATAGTGTTCCTTGTAGGATAATATAATAATAATATAACAGGAAGCCCTCTAGACACAACTGCAAGCCTAGATTAAAGCACCTAACAAAGCTAGAAGAGGAGGTAATTCTGCAGCGTATACTTGACAAGAACCTACGTAGAGTACCAACCTTAAAGCTACACGTACAAGATATGGCTGATAGACTGCTGCGCGACCGCAGTGGTGAGCCTGTTAGTAAATGCTAGGTTGACAGGTTTATTAAGCGTACACCTAAGCTGCGCACGCGCTAGACTCGTCCATACAATTACTAGCGAGCTCTCTGCGAAGACCCAGCAATTATTAAGCCCTAGTTCACACTAGTTTAGAATATAAAGGCAAAGTATAGTATTATAGACAATAATATATAACGTATTCCACCACCCAACAGCTCAAACCACCCAACAGCTTAAAATGTCTTGGCACAACCAACACTAGTTACAAATTTCTATTTTTATTACTATTATACAAGGAGCCTGTGTATGCTGTACTAACCTCTAATTTAGAAGTCTCCTCTACATCCTTTTTACACATTTGCGCGTTGTGCCTAGTCTTGCTGCAGTTCCTACAGCGCTGTAAAGCTGGTTAGGCTCTCTCTTGATCACCACCACGACAAGCCTTCTTCGACCGCTCTGCGGCTATAGAGGCCTCTGCAGCCACCTGGGCTGCTGCCTCACCATACTCCATTGTGCCGCCATGCTGGATCCGCTTCCTTTTGCGCGATTTCCTTTTGGTCATCACTGCTAATTGCTCTTCAAGCTTAGTAATCCAGGCTACTTAAAGCGCGTTCTAATGCAGCATAAGCTTGCTGCCTCTAATAAGCTAAGAGAAGCCTGCCTGCGCAGTAATAGGAGAATAAGTAAAGGACTTGCGTACAAGCTTTAATTATAATCTAAACTTATATATATTACTTAGAGTCTTTAACTGCCACAGCATCTCTAGGAGGAGGGGTTCTAGCAGGGTACGTAGCTGCACTTTAAGGCAATCTAATACAACCTACGTGTTAAGAGGGACAAGTCCTAATACCTTAAAGGCCTTATAATAGATTACCTCTATAAATATATTATAAAATATATCTTTAAAGGCTAGTAGGAAGCCTTCTTTATTAATATAGAAGACGCGCTTATATGCTAAGTCTTGTATATGCTAAGAGTACTTGCGCTTTAATAGCAAGAAGTAGACTACATTAAGCAGCTAGAGGATGTGCAACAAGTAAGGTAGCATGCAGAGGGTAAGGATCTTATATTTAAGGTAGTAGTCCTTAAAATCCTAGTTAAGGTAGCTCTTATAGCTGTCTAAAATAAGCAGCCTGTACACCCCTACCTAGCCTGCCTTTGTATGCGCGTTAAAGTGCTTCAACTACTCTAGACTAAGTGCATTATTTGTCTAGCTGTTCTGAGAGACTAAGAGCTTCTAATTGCGTGGTATATCTGCCTCCTTGTACTAGGCAGAGATGTGAACGCGTCCTTTGTAGATAATAAAAGGTGGGGTACAAGATCTAGCAGCGCAGATGCTCTAGATAACTGTTACCTATTCGCGATCACCTGGCTAAACAAGCTTAGGCTAAGTACACCTCTCTGCGCCTGTAACAACCTTTATTAAGCCAATAACACCTATCTAGAAGCTAGTCTTATTAAAGTTGTGCATGTTATAGTTGTGTACGCTGTACTTGGCTCTAGTGTCCTCTACCAGCTTAAACCACGCGCCAATTGTCTCTAGATCCTCCTGCAGTATCCTCTGCCTATCTTTAGCTTGATTAAAGGCCATCTTAAGCTCAGCTAAGCGCGTTACAAAGCGCTCAGCCCAGTGCTTGCCAACTAGCTGCCTACCGCGTACACCCAACACTTTATCAGCCATATCTGCTACCTCGCACAGCTAGGGCGCGAATCCTTGCAAATCTAGGTTACAGATATATTAGATAATTATTTGCTCTTCTATAAGTGTAAGTTTACAGCTATTAGGTGCTTGTTTAAGGATAAACAGGGCTCCTCTAACACGTGTAGAGAGAATATATTGTTTAATATTAAAAGTGCGCGCAGCTGCTCTCTAGCTTTTAAATTATTTTAAATAAAGAGCTTTAAGGGCAAGGTTAACTCTACCTTTGTGTTCACATAGTAACGTGTTATGTGGTTAAGGCATGTTGCAACAAAGAGGGTGTTTGTTGTGCTAAGACATTTTGAGCTGTTGGGTGGTTTAAGCTGTTGGGTGGTGGAATACGTTACAACTTTAATAAGTCTAGCTTCCTAATAGGCAAGATATCTTTATAACTTGTTATAACAGGTATAGAGAAACCTAGGAAAGTAAAGAAGCTTTAGCCTAGTGTTGCAGCCAAAATAGAGGCAAAATGTACATACATTTGCACCCCTGAATTGGCTGGTAAATAGGCATGATATGTGCTGCGACACACCCCCTCACGTCTAACCAGGACTGCATGATTGGAGGTGACATAACGCAGCAGAATGCCTAATGTGCTGAGTAGGTGAATCCTTCTTCGTGATGCTCTACACTATGCTCTAGATGGTAGCCCTAGTTAAGCAGGTACCGTGCCAAGGCTTGGCTATGGTCACCCATGGAACACGAAAATCCATTCAACCTTTGCTTGCGCAGCTTCAGCGTCCGGGCTCATAACTGTTGCAGCCAAAATAGAGGCAAAATGTACATACATTTGCACCCCTGAATTGGCTGGTAAATAGGCATGATATGTGCTGCGACACCTAGTAATTGTAAGTAGACTATATTAATACAGGGCGTCAGCGCAACAGGGCGTGTTATCCTACCCTTCCTTATCTTTGCTAGCAAGGTTCTTATCTCTAACTAGTTTACTAAGGACCTCCTACGCAATTAGGTTATTTAAGTAAGCCTAATAGGCTAGACAAACAACAATCTAGCGCTTGCCTGGCTTAATTACTTTAATACGCATGTGAGACCTGTAGGAGCGTATAGGCTGCTAATTATTAACAGCTACAAGAGCTATTGCTTAATATATTTCTAGAATTGCTGCAAGGAGAAGAAGATTATTACCCTCTGTATGCCTCTACACTTATTACACCTCCTGCAGCTACTTAATGTTGCCTGTTTCTTGCTATTAAAGCGCGCGTACAGTGATTAGGTCTCAGCCTTAGCACGCAATTGTATTAACTATATTAGTAAATAGACCTTCTTACTAGCCTTTAAAGTAGCTTTTAAGAAGGCGTTTACAAGAGAGAATGCTTGCGCAGGGTTTTAAGGCGCTAGATTGTCTCTATATAATCTACAGGCTGTGTTATTGAAGCTAGATGTGTAGCTGTGTACGCAAACTCTACTACAGCAAGTTAACACTGCTTAGGAGGCAAAAACACCACGCAACGCTAAAGAAATAGAGGCGCAATTAACACTAGTTTAAAACAGGATAAAAATCTATTAAGGGTCTCTAGCAAGTTTACTTAATAAGTAGGTGCAGTAGCTAACAAAAGGCGCGTAGTAGATAGCTTATAAGATAGTGTTAATGCGCGCAGAGATAGTGCGCCTTAATACTACTACTAAAGCAGTAATAAAGTGTAAAAGTTGCAAGAGACGCTACGTATAGGTAGAGGAGACATTAACAGTTAGTAAGGTATTAGACTTAATTACTAAAAGAGAGGGTGGTAGATATAAG